CAGAGCCTCCTCCTCCAGGCAGCCTTCCTTGATTCCTCCCACCCCCACTTCTTGCTCCCTGGACACTCACATTTGCTCCCCGTGGCTCCTGACTGGTCCTGCTGGGCTGTGCCAGTCTCTGTGAGCTTCCTGTGCCGCCCTCCTCCCACTCCCCCAGGCTAGCACCACACCGGGCACAGAGAAGCCTGGCCAGGCAGGGGAGCTGGGCTGGGCTCCAGGTCCCTCCTGATAACCTGTGCAAAGGGAGGAGTGGCCGTGTCCCGAAGCTCAGACCTACAGGTCTCCCGGAAAGGGGCCCTGCTGGTGGTGCTGGTGGGGGGGGGTGCTCCGAAGGGGTCCCCGGCTTGCTGTGTGACCCCGCACGAGCGGCGGCCCGTCTCTGGGCCTACTTCCCCCTCCGGGAATAGAGGAGGCGGAGGAACTGCATCCGAGGTCCCTTCCAGCTCAAACACCTTCTGTTCCTGAGATCTCGTGAACGTTGCCATGGAGACGTCACGAGGCCCTGCCGCAGCACCGAATGCAGTTTCTACCCCAGAGACGTGGACTGAGGGGCCCCGGGAAACGCGTGACCCTGCAGGTGCGCTGGCCCCGGGGCCCAGGTGTGCACTCGGACACAGCGGCGACCGTGAGGTTGACGACACAGAAGCGGGCAGCGCGCCTTGTTGGGTTGTGCGTGGGTTCGCTGAGTCAGAACCAAGCCCAGGGCCCCGACAGCGAACAAGCCCGTTCTGCCGTGTGAAGCAGCCTTCGGAGGCCGCCGGGACTAGAACCCGGATCCCCGCTGGCTCCGGTGCAGCTGTCGCAGCACCGCTCGGAGCGTCTGTTTGGGGATTTTGCGGAAGGCTTGACCGGGAACAAGGGCTCTGCGGCTCCGACAGGCCTCGGATCCTTCCCATGCATTCCTGTCTCTGCGCTCTGTCTGGTGTGTTTAAGCAGCGACATCATCCTGCTGTTGCTGTCAGGTGTGGTCCAGTCGGTTCCCGCCCACAGCCACCCTGCGTACAACGGGACCAAACCCTGCCCGGTGCTGCGCCAGCCTCCCGGGCCCAGGCCGCAGCCGCGGTGTCACCCGCCGCCTTCCTCTCTCTGCCCACCCTCCACTTTACCAGACGTGATGTCCTTCTCCAGGGACTCGGCCCTCTTCCTTTTTTTTTTTAATTTATTTTAATTGTGGTTTGGGTGGAAGTTTACAGAGTAAATTCATTTTCCATACAGCAGTTCATACACATTTGGTTTCAAGACATTGACTGCAGTCCTCACAGTGGAACAGCTCTCTCCCCACTTCCTCCCTGTGGTTACCTCTTCCCTGTGTCCTTCCCTCCCATGCACTCCCACCCCACTGAGCTGTCTTCCGGTGCAAACACTGCCCTTCTGTTCTCCCACGATTGGTTGCTCTAAGCAGGGTATCTCCCTGATGTCAATGTTCACCCTATCTGCCTGTCTGTTGTTTGGCTGGAAGACACAGAAGTCAGTTCAGTTCCAGGCCTGA